ACACACACACACACACGCTCTGTGTCTGTGTGTGTGTGCGTGTGAGTAATTCCTGCAGTTCTCAATTTGATATCGTCTTATTCTGCTCAGGTCCCTGCGAATCCGATTATGCTCTCCCATCTCCCTGTGTAACTGCACTCTCCTCTGAATTCGGTTGTGCTCTGCTCCCCCACTTGTTCTTCCTCACTATCGTCCTGTTCTCCTGTCCACCAGATGCAGCAGGAACAAATACATACCTAGAAGAGAGCACAGAAGGGCTACAACTTAGGGGCATACTTGCACTATGGCATACCACCTATGTATTCTATAATCTTACGTGTGCTTAAGCCGACAATTAGGTCCTCCTTTCCCCATGTCGTGGGAGCTGTTAATTAAAATTCTCTCATAGGAAAATTTGAAACCATCATATATGACAGCCCCAATGCGCACCCACCCCCCCTTCCCTCCTCAAATTGCTTCTTTTACCTTTCTCCTTCGTTTTCCGTGCTTTTCGATCTTAACTCCTATACTTGTCGTTTCCTTCAGCGATTTGTTCATCTTCTTGTATATTCCCTTTTTCATCATCATTTTAAAAAATTGGGAAATTCACAATAAGAGCGTTCACAACTGTATCTGATGAGAATTGGAGTTGAATACATCCTCCAAAGTTCCAGTGTGGACATGCCCTAAAGTGCCAGAACATTCAGACCGGAATCTGACCAGAACTACAGGCAGATACACCATTTTTCGCGGTTAACATTTACTCGCGACTTCCTCTGCACATGCACACTGCCATAGCATCTACGACCACCACCTCAACACTATACTGCTGTACCTCACGCACGAAACAGTAGAGGGGGGGGGGGGGAACGAAAAAGGAGAAACAAAAACAAAAACCGGAACAGGGATAAAACAATGCAATCTGCAGCTATGAAATGATAAACTTCACCTAATGCTCGAAAACTTACGAAAAGAACAAAAAAACTGACCACAAAAAAAAAAAAGAGAAAGGCAGATCGAAAACGTTATCTGGATTCAGAGGACGCCGCAAGACTTCCGGTAGCGATAGCGCTAAGCTGCGCTCGGTGCTACAGCGCTAACGCGCTATTAGAATCACCGCGGCGGCAGGGCCGTCGCTTCCTGAAGTCTCAAGGCCGGGGTGGACATGGCGGTTGGAGCCTCGTCACTCTAAGTGTGTGTCTGCATTGGCCATCACCTTGAGTCACCACCATGATGACCCTGGTGAGCTAAGTCTTCAGGTTCGGTAATATCCGAGCGGTTTGATGAAGTACGTCAACTGGTACGCCAACGCCGCAACGGGAGACCTTACGTGAACTGTGCTCATGCAAAGAAGAAGTCGGTGAGATAGTTTAGCAGGTTAACGGTGGGCACGCACTGGGAGGCGCTCGCCATTGATACGTTTGCTATAATTCATTGTGCAGTAGTCCCTCACAGGGAAGCTCCGCCTATCGCCATGGCAAGCCAAGGCAGACCGCCGGGCCGCCAACAGAGCAGAGGACACTCTCCACCTGGACACTCGGACATACCGATTGCAGATGAGGATCAGATGCGACTGCTCATCTCGAAGTGCTACGATGATGGGATACTACCGGAGAAGTTCAGGCACGGCGAGTGCAGATGGAAGCAGGCGTCAAAACCTTTGTTGTTACCCCTCGGCTGGATGAGTTAACTACCAACTGGCTAAGGGAAAGAACAGTCACGGTGATTTTTCAGGGAGCAGCAAGAGATCTGCCGATGAAAGTCAGAGATGACCTGATCAGGTCCAATGCGAATGGGTGGTATAGGCAACGAATCTTCGACCACAACATCAAGAGGGGCAGAGTGCACTCCGAATGCCCTAACGTAGTTTCATACGTGGCCAAGTCAAGCGAGGTGGCCTGTGGATGATAGCAAGAGCGAAAGACAGCATGGTGATTAGAGGGGTGGAATATTGCATGCTGTTCAAGCAGTGGCTCACCAGAACGGAATTGGAGGAG